AGGACGAATCATTAATGTATGTCGCGAAGTAACACCGCAAGTGCTCCAGAATGTTCGACAACGGTTTGAAGACAACCTGTATCATTGTATGCAAGTTGGCGGACAACATTTTCAGCATTTACTTGACTAATACCGTAAGTTTTGAAGTAAAATTAAATCGATTTTCGCATTTCTCGTCAAAAATATTGTTCGTATTTTCAAAGCTGCATATTTTCTAAAATAATGAATCGATTTTCAAAAAGTAAGAATCGATGTATAGAGAATTAAAAGCCCTTTCTAATGACCCCCCACTTGACCCCCATTCCCATTTGAAAAAATTTAGGGGATAGCACCCCCACTTAGGGGGTTGAAGATTTTGGTATGCTTTTTGAGCCAAAAGTTGTCCCCCTCAGAAACAAATTTGACCTGTTTTTGGATTTTGCCGAAAAGTTCTTTACTACCCTGTAATGCCTTGCGGTACGTTTTCGATGGGCTACCCTGTATATTATGTGTGAAATATTTGCTGTAATCTATCTTCTTAAAATAAGTATATCCAATCATTTGACCCAAACTATTCAATTTTGTATTAAACAAACGATACATTAATATACAATACAAAACATGTTTCTATAAAATCTATGTAGATCATAAAACTAAGAATATAATTCGTTTAACCGTAAGTATCAAATATTTATTTGAAATGCTGCCTATTTTTAAAGTAAGAAATTATATTAGTGGGTAGAAATTTAAAGTATTTAAATAAATAAATAATTTTCTTGAAAGAAGAAAATATTTTCTTGCAAATACACAAGTGCGAATTTTTTTTTTGAGTGTAGAGGACAAAAAATACGAGACACGCATATGTTTTTCTCTGCGGACAAACGTTTTAAAGAAGTAAAAAGCCCCACCAAAGTGTACCCCTAAACAGTTTTTTCAAGAAATCTGTTTCTATACAATAAGGGTAAAAATTATTCTTTTTCTCTGCAAAAATTGTAAAGATCAGATATATACAAAAATTAGTTTACTCTAAAGAAAATCAAATTCTAAAGTTGACCTATTTCAGCGTTTTTCACAAAAGTTCATTTCAGCAGGGTAAACTACCCCTTATTAGTGGACTTCACTTTTCTTTGGAAAATTATTTGTAGATAAAACTAAAGTAAATGTATTAATTAGTATTAATAATAAATAGTGCGTGTATTTTAATAAAAGCGCAAATATAGAGGTTATCACATTTTGAGGACATTGTCGAATGAATTTTTCGTCGTTTTATGAAAATTTATGAATTTCCAGTAATAAAATAAAATAATATTGAAGACACAGGAGTTGTTGGGATCAAAACCACCCCAAAGGCTCACCCCAAAAACAGTTTTTTCACGATATCTATAAGCAAAAATTGTTTTGAAACCAATTGAACATTGTTTATTATTAGAGCTCGGGGCTCGGTCGGATGATCATAGCAGTCGCGTCGGCCTTTCGCTACAGCGCACCGTACGAAACCGGTAATAACTGCAGTTACTGGCTTCGCGTTTGCTTCGTGTATGCGTGTTTTAATATTCTAATAATGTCGAACACGCCAAGGGGTAAAAAACGAGCTTTCGCTGATAAAAGTACGCAAACATTTATTTTTATTTATATCTACCTGTTTATTTATTTGTTTACGATGAACACGCCTATGACTATCCGACGAAAAGCCCCAGCTTTATTTATTTTGGAACACTGATATTATTTACAACATTTCGACGCCCAGGAGTTGCAGCCCTTGTTTTAGGGTAAAATGTTTTTTTCTCAAAATTTTGCTCTGTGAGAAATGTAAAAATGACGGTTAGAAGTTTAAAAAAATATTTATTTATATAGAAAATAGTAAACTAGAATTGACTCATTTGTGATTTCAAAAACCAAATTTTTTACCCTTACAAAAAATAAGGGATGCGACCCCTGTGGGTCGAAATTGTAAATAACATCAGCCCTCTTGTAATAAACAATCTCCAACTGGTTTCAAAACAATTTTTGGTTATAATCAAAGATATCGTGAAAAACCATTTTTGGGTCACCAGCATATTGGTTTCTTGATTTCCTACAACGTTTTTGATAGAAAACTTGTTGGGAATTGCTGACTTAAAACAACCATGCAGTTCTTCCGCGTTACAAAGAATATATGTCTTTTGTCTAGAACAGGATGAAGGTATTATAAAACACCAGTAATAATAAGATAGTCTTTCTTTCTGAAATAAATTGACTAAATCTCGAATTCCAATTGACGTGTTCTAAAATTCTGTCTTATTTTTGGTTGTGCACAAGCAACTACTGGATCCCGAGACACGACATTCCGCGAAAGACATTTATAATGTTCAATATTTGCATAGCTGTTGGTTTAAAATAGATTGCCAGCCGACGTTTTAGCGAAGTTTTGGTGCAATATTCTCTTACGAGCGGCAGTAATCGCCGGCGCGGCCTGTCCGGCCTATCGGAGGGTTTTATCGGGCCATAAAAGAAGCAATAAAATTATTTGCTGCGACGTTGATATACGATCCTATAACATCGGTCGTTTTATAAAAGGAAATTTCTCTCTTGTTCGAACAGTCTAATGCTAATGGATTATGCAGGGATGTATTAATAGTCGCTTTGCAAAGCTATTCCAGGCGATTATCGCGCCTCGGACCTCAGACGACTTACACAGGGTGTTTGTAAACTTGGAGGACGTTTGAAGAGTAAATAAATATTTTTCCGAAATAGAATATACATATTTGTTTAATACCCGTTGATTTGCCACATCGATGCGATAAAAACTTTTTTGGGACCGCTGACTTCGACGATAGCTCAGTCACTGTTTACAAGTGTCGGCAGATTGTATGTCTAGATAGAAATCGCTATTTTAGTGGCTTTATTTGCACGCACACTGTAATTTGACAAAAAGAAAACGCAGTTAAAAATTTGTTTACTAATAATTTTTATAATAAAAAACACATGTTCACGTAATGAAAACTAAAGTGATGATTACCTAAAATTAAACCAGCCATTTGTCTGTTTACTATAAAAACGAAACAAAAAGGGGGACAACATGCCATTTCAGGCCACAACTATTGACCTCTTTTTGTGTAGTATGTAAGCCGGGGACAATGGACAATTCCAGAGGTTCTCAATAAATTTGTAATAATTTTATTAACTATGCCGTTTTACGAATTTAACGATTTTTGATATTGAAAAAGTTCATTATTGGACCATTGTACCTACCACTAAAAAACTCTTTTCAAGTTTGTAAACATCCTGCATTCTATACAAAAAATATACAGGATGTCCTAGTTTTCCACATTGAATTGTCATAGATTTTTTATGTGAAAACTTGACGATTTAACAAAATTTTAATTGAACATTTTTAGTTTTTTCCCAAATGGCTCTTTAATTCGATTTACTCGTATATAAACTTTAGTATCAAAGGTACATGTTCTTTTCTTTCCTGATTTTTTTTCTATCGATACAAATATGATTTATTATTATCAAAAGTTTTGCTTCTTTAATAAAAACGAAATAATGCTTTATATTAAAAAAACTTGTAATTCAATGTTTTTCATAAAAATTTGGCATTTTCTCCATAACATAATTGTCAGAAAAATATCTCACTTCACTCAGGTTTTTCCCATCTCATAAATATTTTGACTTATCAATCTGAAATCACTAGGCACTTACTAGATCTAATTACAAAACGAGTGTTTATTTTATAGTCATCGATAGATGGACCTAATTACAATTTACTAGAGAAAACGTAAATTTTGTTCATCCGATGTACTCATATCAACAATTTGAACAGAAAATGATGAAAACTTTACTCTGAAGAAAAGTATGTATGTATGTATGTATATAGAAAGAAGATTTTCATCTCAGTCTTGGTGTAGAAATCCATTATTTTTTCTATTTTGATGTTATGTGGTTTAAAAAATGCAACAATTGATTGCATTTTTTGTTGTCGTCTAATTTTGGCCAAAAGAATCACCCGTCGAGTCTTGTTTTTAATGAAACCTTTAGAGATTCACGACTTGACTTAATTTTAAAACTATTATACTTCAAATAAAGTCAAGTAATAGTGTTCTAACGTCTAACATAAAGTCAAATCAAGTAGCTACATTTCAAGTGCTTGAAAAATCGAGCACTACTTCAAAACTGTTTGATTTTAAATTTCAGTTTTATATGATATTATGAAAGAGAGGTCAGACTTTGTAAAAATGGTTTGTTTATACCGAATTAGATTCTGAATTTAATCTTAATGCATGAAAAATAAATATTACACAAGTAAAAAATATAAACTATTTTTTGTGAATATTATATTATTGCATTACTTACTGCATTTTATACAGACTTACTTAAATACCGCTAATCCAAAATGAAAATAATTAATATTTAATATTTTATTTAACTCAAAATTGCTTTTATATACAGGGTGTTACTTAAGTACGTGGCCAAACTTCAATGGGTGATTCTTTGAGTGATTCTAAGAAAAAAAGTTTATATAAACATAGGAACGTTAATGCTTTGTTTTCAAGATACAGGGTGTCAAACTTTTTTAAATTAAAATTATTAAGTCCAGTGATGTCCCGGGGGGCACCTTAACCAATATTTTTTTCAAACAAAAATATACGCCACTGACTTTTTAAAACTTTTATAAATTTTTTCGCATTAAGCAACTAAAGATTTTTGTCTCTTGAATTTTTTTCGCATCTTGCTGTCTGTTTGGAGAAAAAAAAAATTAAAATCACTTCATTGCATATCCGTTGGACTCGAAAAATCACTCCTTGAAATTTGGCCACGTACTTAAATAACACCCTGTATATTAAGAAATTCTATATTGTAGCACTTTTCAAACTGCTTGATGGAATCAAGTAACAACGAGTGAAATAAAAAAATCAAGTCTCACCATACAGTACTGTGTGAGTTTAAAAAAATCGAACTGACTTCAAGCCCAATCAAGTATATTCTAAAAATATTTAAGCTTGACATTTACTTAAACGATTTAATTAGGGTCTACTTACTTTTCTTGTGTTTAGAGTTATTGAATTTGCACATGCTGAAGGACTGTCCCATGGATCGCAGCGAGCCCCGCCTGTGGCAGCAGCGGTGGCGGGGGGCAGCGAGGGAGCCTACCTTCTGCGGGGCGGCCACCCGGGGGCATAGCCCCACATCGCGCCACCACCCCTTTAACGTCACCGCTACCCTCGACGCCTTCCCAATTATGGACTGCTTCCTCTTCTTCGACGAGGGGATGGTACCGCCGTCTCCACCGCCTCGCCACTGACTCTTGATGGCCCTGCTGGGAATCTTGAACAGCGTAAGGTGGAAGTTCTGGAAGTTTTTCCGATCCTTCGAGCCCTGGGTAGCCGTTTTGGGCGGTTAAGGAACCTGGAGGAACGAACCTCGCTGAGAATCTGTCCGAAGGAGATATCTTCACTTTAGTCGATCACAAGAGGTGTTAATAGGCTTTGGAACAGCTGGTTCAACCACTAAACTTCTTGGAGAGACTACTCAACTCGGTACCTTCCAGAAAATATCTTGTTAGGTTTCAAAATCAGATGTTTCGATCACTAGTATTCGCAATTCTTCAGATTTTCCACGGTATCTTCCTCAGATATTGAGTATAGCTTCTTTCCTTGATTTCTGACCGGAGGATACATGAACTGTTACCTAAACTGTCTGCTACACGTCTCTTTTTGAGAACACAAAATGAAGCGGAGAAGTAAATCCTGCAGAGACAAAGACGGGTTTAGAGTTTTTTTCATATCCGGTGGTCACGAGATCTACTGAAAGAAAAAATTGGGGTTAGTGTTGAGGTTTAGGTTTTCTTGGCGAAGATTCGTGCGGATGGTACTTCAATTTCGGCGGATTGTTTTAATTTTGGTAATTCCGTTAACGAAATATTGCAATAGAAAATTACAGTACACCATAACCAAACTTTATTTGAATGATATCCTGCTGCGAGGCTACTTCGCTTACATTGTAAGCAACATTGACATAATTTGAATTTATTAATTACTATAAAAGTCAATATTGTTCTATAAATTTAAATACATAAATTCTATAATTCTATTAGTTTGTCACTTGCGGTTTGAAACTTCTAAAATATTTCTAATATTGTCAGAATATCGCAATATTTAAGGTCATGACAAAGAAGCCATTTTTTGCCACTTATGTCCAAAGTACATAAGGTTTTCTACCTTATCGATATAGTAAAATTACTGAGAAATTTTTCATGACAATGTGTACTATGAGGTTGCCTATTATTTGGGGTATGTGACGTCACTACTAAAAAGATCTATTAATATACTGACTGTTTAAATGAAATTGTATATATTCTATACAGGGCTGGAAAATCCACATGGTCCATCTGCCTTTACATGAGAGCGACAAAGTAAAGTAAAGAAATCCGTGCGATAGACAATGATGTAGCCATCATAGTGAAGACGTTTCATAACCTGAATAGTCACGGCTCGTTTCGGGTTAGAAGTGGGAGTGACTATTCAGATTACGAAACGTCTTCAATGTAACTATCCTTGTCTATCGCATGGATTTCTATGACTTACTTTATCGCTCTCACGTAACGGCCGATGTACCATGGGGACTTTCCGAACCTGTATAAGTTATAGTCGACAGCGCTACGTTTTTAACTCTATTTTTCATTTGTTTGCGTCTTTTCCTCTACTTAACTTAATCATGGGAATTGCGTTTTCCATTCAAAATATTTTGTTGCAGAACGAATAAAATAATTTACATTTGTTACTGAGTGACTCTAAATTACGGAAAATTCAATTGTTTTTTAAGTACCGCCTTGAAATCAAAAGAAGTTTCCCAAAAACTTCAGGCTACATCATTGATCTCTAAATACAAAAGTAAAAGAGAGGAAAGAAATTTGAGGCTGTGAAAAAATTTCATATAATGCAATTTATTACATCTCAGGATAAATCTCAACTTCTACAGTAACAGAAATAAATTATATTCATTAATTTAAAGTTATACAATAGCATAACTCAAATCACGATAATGATTTCGTCATACAGGAAGTAACTGTTTCCGAATTATGACCCTTTACGTAATTTAAAGCACGATATTTACATAAATGCTGATTAAGCGATAAAACATAGTTTCTACTTCGATTAAATTGACAAGTAGGTATAAAAAATATTAGGTACAGGTACAGCTCGCATAAACTATCTGCAAGATTCGCAGATCAAGAAGATAGTCCCCAGTAGGAGACCTTAATACTAGGACAGGTATTTTCCGTGCAAAAATTTTCCTTGAGTAAATGGTATTTATCTGCTCCCACTATAGTAAATAGACTATATACATTGTTTTTAAGGAGGTAAGTGGATTTTACCGTAGAAGTTGCTATGGACAACGGGAGGTAAGTGAGATAATTTACCTCCCTATGGAAAAAAGCGATTTCGAGTTATAAATTTTATGAACAAATAAATAGAAATATTTGATGAACATTACATTTTATTAATTATTATGAATGAATATTTATAGTAATTGTACAGTTATAAAATTTAGTAACATTTATAAAATCTGGATAATTATTCCCCTCGCGTTTACTAATTGTCACATCTTTCTCAGAATGATTTGACCGCTCCATTTCAGTCACCGGAGGCTCAATATTATCTGACTGACCCATTAAATGATGCATGATGCGACGTACTACTAAAACTTGGAGTTGAAGTGTCATTGTGAAGAGTCCTGTTGGCTATTTCATTTTTGTTACTTAAACTGTCAGCAACATAACTTTCTGCAATTGTGGCTGATTTCCACCCACCATGTCTCTCGATTGCTAATACATCAACTCCTGTACTAGTCAGTAACGTTGCCGATGTTCTTCGGAATAAATGGCCTGTATATGTTTCAGGATGTTCTAGTTTCAAAAACTGTGCAATCTTATTAGGAATCATAGAAAGGGAATTCTTGCCGACTGGTTGGTTGTAACATCTAATTGCTATTTATATCTATTTTAAGTTTATTGATAACCTAAACTTGTAAATTAATATAAAGTTCCAAAAATGGTAGTCTCAGTAACAAACATGAGAAAAATGGACAGCAACTTACACATTCAGATACCGAGGTGTTCTGCAAGATTAGACTATCTATCCCCTTAAGTCATTTATGGTGTCTCACGTCAAACAATTTGGCGCTTCTCAGAATCTTATAATGAGTTTAATAAAATTGTTATTGTTAAGTGTTTGCCTTCGAATTATGTTAATTCTAGGAGTCTTCAGATAAGGTGGAATTTACTCATACTTAGGGAATCGATTATTGATTTACGATTTATTATCTCACACAGTAAAATAAACGAAAGTTGAGAAATCGGCTATATAAATAGTGAGCTAATGGGTATAAAGTTTGAAGTATTAATTATATGAGTCAGAGGGGTTTGTTTACGTTTAATTTTTCTAAAAAAAAAGTCAATCAAATTTTACAGAATTTTACATATTATTCTAGACTACCATCATACCATCCTGACTTGAACCCTATCGAACTTGCTTGGTCGTTACTAAAACAGTACTTGTCACATTCATTTGATAGGAGTAAAAAAATTGTGCAATTAATGTTTTGAATCATTTACACCACAATAGTATTCTCGCTACCGACATACCAAAAAAATTGGAAAAGAATTAAGGCTGACAAGATGGTTCCAAGGTTTCACTTCCACAAGCCTTTTGAGACTCGAATAGAGGATCAAAGCAAATGGGAGGAAAAATTTAATACCTTGGAAAGGTGGAGCCTAGTATGGTTTACAGATGCCAAAATGACTAGAGGGACGGGTGCAGGAATATACAGGGTGTTCCAGATAGACCTTCAATTAGACGTTACTGGAAAACTACGCGTACTGGAATTCTGAAAATTTATGTACGGGGGTTTCTCCTAATGTTCTATCGATTGAAAATATTGGCGTCGTCGTGGAACTTCCGGTTCTACCGGAAGTAGACGTCAACTAGCTTATTTCAAATGCTTGTAGACAGTCCGGTCTGCCGAGGATGTGAATCGGCGGATGAAACTTCTCTGCATATCCTGGGCGAGTGCCCGGGATTTGCACGTAGCAGAATGGCGTTCCTTGGGAGACCCTACTTGGAACCCAAGGAGCTGAGAGAAGTGTCAGCAAGGAAGCTTTTGGACTTTGTAAAAAGGACAAATCTACTTGCTGAATAGGACTAGTAGTGGGACGCACAATAGGCCTAATCAGGCCGCGGTGCAATGGAACTTATTAAGACCAACCACTAGAAGTAGAAGTAGTAGAAGTAGAAGGCTGACAAGAAACCGCACTTTCAGTAAGACAGTGATAGAAAACTATAAAAATGTTGAAATGCATTATATAATAACATTAATTTTACATTTTAACTCTTTTTTAATTATTTAATATAAATAAGTATTTTTTTATTAGAAGTTGTGACATTCCTTGCAAGAACTTTTACGCTTGACACAAGCGGTTCAAAAAATGTTGCGACGTATTGTTACAAAAAGTATCAGTAGTATAAACTGATACGTATAATAAATTATTTACATCTAATGGTTAGTCAAACTTGAGATAAATACTGTTTGACCAAGGAAGGTGCTTTTCCTACAATTTATATTTGAAAAGATTTAAAGGACCCCGCACAAATCTTATGGAAATTGGGTCCCGGTCAAATTCGCTGAATTTTTGATATGTGATAGAGTTCATCATACTGGTCAATTGTCTCAATGGCCACAAAGCTCAAAAATGGATAGTTTGGCCGGTACAGAGCTTTAAAGCTCCGAATATCCTCCACGGATTTATGTATATGCGCAGTGTGTATAGACTTTTGAAATAGCCTATTTCATTTTTTTTATTATCTAGGTTTATATTTTTGAGGTTGCTGAATTCAGATCTGTTGTTAGATTTTCAAAATTGACAGTTGGCAGCTGTCAAATAGCTGTCAATGTGCTATAATAAAGCCAAAAACTTGTTTTTTTATGTTTTATCTTTCTTTTTTTTTAGTTCGATAAGTTCAAAGACGATATCAAATCAATAACAATGACTATCGGCAGCTGTCATTTAGCTGTCAACAATTCTTCAAAGTCCGGTAATAAAGTCAAAAAATTATTTTTTGTTTATAACTTCAAGTTTTTTAGATAAGTGAATATAAATATGATATAAAATTATGTAGTCATCAGCTTACAGCTGTCAACAAGCTGTCAACTAACTGTCAAAATGCAATAATAGAGCAAGTAACTTATTTTTTGTGCTTAACTTTGTGGATAAGAAATCAAACATGATATAAGTTTATGACATCACTTTTGAACTCAGTGATCTAAGCAACTTAAAGCTTTTTAAAAAAAGTAACTTTTTGACTTTATTATTGCATTTTGACAGTTAGTTGACAGCTTGTTGACAGCTGTAAGCTGATGACTACATAATTTTATATCATATTTATATTCACTTATCTAAAAAACTTGAAGTTATAAACAAAAAATAATTTTTTGACTTTATTACCGGACTTTGAAGAATTGTTGACAGCTAAATGACAGCTGCCGATAGTCATTGTTATTGATTTGATATCGTCTTTGAACTTATCGAACTAAAAAAAAAGAAAGATAAAACATAAAAAAACAAGTTTTTGGCTTTATTATAGCACATTGACAGCTATTTGACAGCTGCCAACTGTCAATTTTGAAAATCTAACAACAGATCTGAATTCAGCAACCTCAAAAATATAAACCTAGATAATAAAAAAAATGAAATAGGCTATTTCAAAAGTCTATACACACTGCGCATATACATAAATCCGTGGAGGATATTCGGAGCTTTAAAGCTCTATACCGGCCAAACTATCCATTTTTGAGCTTTGTGGCCATTGAGACAATTGACCAGTATGATGAACTCTATCACATATCAAAAATTCAGCGAATTTGACCGGGACCCAATTTCCATAAGATTTGTGCGGGGTCCTTTAATAAATTGATAAACGATTCCGAAAATGAATCTCAAAGCTGTCTACAAGTTGTTAATAATTTCGTGTAAATATTTTAATAACGATACTGACATATTTCGGGTAAGCTATCCTGCAAGTGGTCTCAAAAAGCAAGACAAAGACAGTAATTTTTAAAGGATTCTTACGAGACAGAAGATTTTTATTGGCCTCTCTGACAATTTCACAAGCATTGCCAGGCTTTTGTTTGTGGGAAACTTCTGGTCTTCAGAAATTCAGTTAGGTACATATTTTTGAAACACCTTGTACTTTTCAACCACTGAAACCACGTGAAAATACGAATTAGGAGCGACAGTTTGACAGCCCGCTCGATTAGACTGCATGGTTTTGTCGGGTATCTATCCAGACCCAGATGTTCAGATAATACGATTAAATAACACAAATGACGTCGTTATCTGCTGCAGCTATTGTATAATATGCTAATATTCATCAATTTGGCGCAAAAACTGGTCATTCCACTACATTATTCGACACACAGGTTTACGATTCCTTTAGCACTGCGGCGAAGGACAAATCTTGTTTATAGTGGTTGTAAGTAAAAGCAATTAATTTTTTATGAATGGCTTCGAGTGACTTTCCATCAGCGCTTGACGTATCGACACTGACTCCTTAGATTTTTCGATCTGTGGGTTAAGTATGCATACTACAGATTTTTCAGTTTGTTGCACTGCTTCTCTATTTTACTTATGGTCTCGCGTTGCGTATAAAACACAAGTAAGTACATGACAAAAAAATATAAGTACGCTACGATAAGGGTTCAAAATTTTGTATCCCTTTTTGTGGTAAATTTTTTAGTGGGATCTACTAATTTTTGAAAACACCCTGTGTATGCTACATGAAATTTTTGATACAAAAAATAAATACAGATAATACTTTTCTATGCTATTTAATCTAAAAAAATCACTTACGTCTCTATTTAAACAGTATTAATAAACCTTCACTTCATTTTTGTCCATGTAGGTGTTAAACCGGACAAAATATGATGAATTTTCACATGTTTTAAGCTCCTTACTGGCTACATGTCTGCTTCTACCTGTTAACACCATAGTACTACTAATTTATCATTCTCATAGTTGCAAAAGTACACATTGAATATTTTTATTTATGTAATTCAGTTTGATATCAGTGTTAAAGTACTTCATCTTAACTGATTAGATAAAATCAAATATTTACATACAATAAATGTCAATTTCTGTGATAATTGCGTTTTACAACGTTTAAAACGTGAAATATACAAGGCATCCCGAATTGTACAAGGTGCCCCAAATTTAAATTTTTGGTAATCAAATATTTCATCGAAACTTGCTTTTAGTAGGTTTTACTAGTGGAGGCTCGCCGTATGAAGCAACTGAGGCCGAGTCTTACTGTAAAAGGCTCTCACATCGTATATTTTAATACCTGTTATTCCACTATTAACCTAAATAAACAGTCAGGTAAACAGGTCAGGTGTTTCAGTCTTTGAGTTGGTGGTTAATGTACGCGTCGGATAGTACGCGGGTAGTAGCTTTAATGATAAGGACAAGACAGGTATTAATTTAATGTAAGTAAAAAACAACTTCCTTACAACAAAACAAAGTAAGACTAAATTTAAAGTAATTTAATAGATACTTATTATATGATCAAATACCTACATCATAGGTAGCTAATAATTAACCCTTTCGCGCTTAATGGTATACCACATATACCACATGTATCAAATTTTTTCTCGATTCTGCTTTGTGGTTCATTGTGCGTACCATAGATTTATTTACTTATTTCACTTGCGCCCTCTCTTATAAAGCGGAAAAAACTCGGATAACTTGCCACAGATGCCTACAGTTGATATATTTCTAACCGTTCTCGTAAACAAACGTGAAATTTTAGTGGTCGGCTTCAAACAATAATAAACAAGGAAAATGGCAAGTAAGTTCCTATAGATATTGTTCTAGCAATTCATTAGCATGCAAATATATCATAATTGTATATGTTTACATAAAAATATTGTTTCTAATCGTTATATTTCTGTGGTATTTCAAATATACCACTACGCATGAACGAATTTGTAAATCATATTTTTTTATTTGATAGAAAGAAATGTTTGGAAATATGACGATTTAGCAAAATTAACAGAAAGCGAGGTAGACGCATTATTGACAGAAATTCCTTCTGATGGAGAATCAATTGATGAGTTTGACGATGAAGAGGACGTAGAAGACACTCCTTCCATGGATATCGAGTGCGATATAGATGAATTTACTGCTACGCCTATTCAAAATTTATCAGATTCCGAGAATGAAGAAGATGATCTTCCATTATCTCATTTTGTACCAATGAATAAATTTATTTGGAAAAAACCTCTAATGGTTACGAATACGGGCAGGCAAGAGAATGTTTTTTCAGAAAGTGTCGGACCTGCTAACATACCCGATGAAGTTGAATCACCAGTTGATATTTTTTGTTGTCTCTTGAACGAACAATTTATCGAACATATCGTTTTTCAAACGAATCTTTACGCTACCCAACGTGGAAAAACATTTGTCCCAACAACTACGAGAGAAATAAAAATATTTTTGGCCATAAATATTTTGATGGGCGTGAAAAGACTTCCTAGCTATCGGGATTTCTGGTCAGCTCAAATGGAGCTGAGGGATTCTTATATATCAAATCTAATGAGCCGTACTCGATTCGATTGGCTTTTAGGAAACTTTCATTTGAATGATAATACTCTTCAGCCAGCCCATGGACATCCTAATTATGATAAACTATATAAGTTGCGTCCATTTTTAAATTCATTATTACATACATTTAGTTTTTTCTATAAAATACATGAAACAATATCAATAGATGAATTTATGATTTGCTTCAAAGGTCGTTCTTCAATCCGCCAATATATGCCTAACAAGCCAATAAAATGGGGGTACAAGGTTTGGACTAGGGCAGATGTACATGGCTACATAGACGAATTTCAAATATATACGGGAAAAGTTAACGAGACTGCAGAGAAAGAATTAGGACCTCGAGTAATTACAGATTTGACCAGATCTTTAGTTGGAAAACATTATTTTGTATATTTCGATAATTATTTTACATCCTTGGTACTACTGAGACAGTTGCAGAAGGAGAATATTCACGCGACAGGGACTATTCGAAAAAAGAGAAAAGGAATTCCAGATGATTTTAAAACCGATAAAGAACTCAAACGTGGCGATTTTGATTGGCGAGTAACTGATGATGGAATTTCCTGCGTCAAATGGATGGACAAGAGAATAGTTCTGTTAGGTTCCAATTATGAAAATCCGTCTGACACTGACCATGTAGTAAGGAGAAAGAAGAATGGTGAAATGGAGAATGTTCCGTGCCCTAAAGTCTTGAAAAATTATAATCAAAACATGGGTTTTGTCGACAAAGCCGATATGCTGAAGAAAACATACCAAATGGATAGAAAGAGTAAAAAATGGTGGCCGCGAATATTTTGGCACTTTATTGATGTCAGCGTAGTCAATGCGTTTATAATTTTTCAGCAACGATGTGGAAACAATAGAGGCATGAATCTAAAGGCGTTTCGTTTGGCTGTAGTGACAGGATTGGTAGGAGCTGGAAAGAAAACAGTGAAAAAGGGAAGAGCAAGATTGGAACAGAAAAATGTGAATAACTACAAGCCAACAGTACCACTTGAAAAAAGATGGGATCAGTCTTTACATATGCCGGTTTATGGAAATTACCGACGTTGTGCTCTCTGTAGTACCCGAGATCATCAAAGACGATCTAAATGGGCTTGCGATACTTGTGGTGTTGCTTTATGTTTGTCCGATAAAAAAGACTGTTTTCAAAGATTTCATAAGAAATAATGTGTAAGTAATGCTCCGCAGCTTAGTGGTATATCTGTAATACCACCATTTTTCAAAAAAATTAAGGAAATTAAAATGTTATAAATACATATATGTTACTTCTTAATTCCCTTTCTACCACCATATTTGAAATCACACAAAAAAAAACAACTTTTTCTAAATGCTGCCCTGAAAGGGTTAAACTATCTCACAATATTGTTTTATCTCTTGAAACAGCTTTTTCAAGAAGTAATGACGTAAACTACTGCTCTAAACAAATTAAAATCACTAGTCAAAGAATTTCTGAATTAAGAAACGAAGAAAAATTTAAAAATATTTTTAATTATGCGAAAAATATTATTGCCATATTACCAAGTAAAAGGGGCAAAAGTTGGGACGAATTAGACCTACTCGTTTTAGGAATTTATATGATTTAAATTTTTTTGCTTTAATAGATTCCTCTAAATTTTCCGGATATGCAAACAAATTTCCCGAAAAATCGTTTGAACGTATCTAAATGTTTTTGAAAGAGATAATCAACTTATCTCTTTCAAAAACATTTAAAAACGAATTTAATATTTTGTATAGAGACGAACAATTTCGTAATTTAGAAGTTCAAAAAACGATAGAAATATTATACAAGGAATTTAAAATGGTATATTCGGAAACATACAAATCGTTTTGCCCAGTTTTAACAATTCCTGCAAAAGTGTCTTGGTGGAAAGAAACTTTTTTTGTGTCTTAAGCGCATTACGACTTAGGTACCATTTAAATTTAAAATTTCCAGATGCATTTAATCGTTTGACCTTGAAAATTTAAAATTTTTGCCTGTGGCGCTTTTTTCATTTTTCTTGCCCACCTAGTAAAAAAGCCATGGACCTCACCTACTCTAAATAAAAAATGATGCCTCAACACTCTGACAGCTACATGGAACTTCAAGGTATTAGAAAAGTAATTTGTAATTTTGAAAATTATTAAGAAACATTTAATCTCCATTTTCTTCTTACTTACTGTGTTGTGGTAATGACCTGTACACATATAAATTGGCACACACTGTATGCCATGAAAACAACTGATTAAACTTTATTTTTCAGTTTGTCTTCGGCCGATTGCCAACAGAGTTTCGTCTAAGATTTTAACAAAACGTTTCGACCTTGACTAAAATATCCCAGGGAAAAATACCAACTGGTCCTGCATTCCACAAATTGACGATTATATAAGATACAGATACGACAGAACGATACTTTTTTTAGATAATACATTTGTCCAGTTACGCAACATCTCCGCCAGCCAATTGACAAATTTGACAACGAAAAAAAAACTTAATAAGTATACATTGTCGCAAGATAATCAAAATGTAATCGGTTTCGAAATGTCATCGTCGTTAATAATTCTAGTATGATTAAACTTCTAGATTTTTTTAACGATGGAGTAGATAAGAAGACAAAACGAAGCGTGAAACAATGGGATATCGTGGAAATATTAAAGATGTCTATAGATTTATTACAAAATAAAAAGCCGTCTTATTATCATTAAGTACATATTGTTTTATTACTATGAATTTTCCAAATGCATTTCCAAAGATTATTGATTAATAGTAAGTTATAAAAAAAATTGTATCCATTTTTTTTATGTAAACACGTGATATACACTCGACCAAGCAAAGCATCAGTCATACACGCACGAACGACAATGAAATGCACGACCAACGTCCCTCAGCAAAAAACCTGGATTGTTCACCGACACGCCATGCTGACAGAGTGCCGCTACATACGTATCGAATAAATTGATCGATGCGAAGCTTCAATCAAACATGTACATGTTATTGTCGAATGATGCGGATAGTGGAATTACTAAAATGTGAAGTAGGAACGGTAGGACGATCATAAGTAGACTTGGATAAATTAAGGATACTCTTGACCAATAAACGAAAATCCAGCTACTAATGTAGACCACCTTTTGGAATTATAATATCAACGTCCCTCAGCAAAAAACCTAAATTGTTCACCGACACGCCATGCCGACAGGGTGCCGCTACATACGTATCGAATAAATTGATCGATGCGAAGCTTCAATCAAACATGTACATGTTATTGTCGAATGATGCGGATAGTGGAATTACTAAAATGTGAAGTAGGAACGGTAGGACAATCATAAGTAGACTTGGACAAATTACTCTTGACCAATAAACGAAAATCCAGCTACTAATGTAGATCACCTTTTGGAATTACAATGCCAATATACAAATTATGCGTATGATACTGATACATTATGTTTGTACAGTCCGAACATAAGTAATCTTCAAATATGCGTTTGGACTTAAACTTTAAGCCCTGCCTTTAAAAGTTAAAACCATCTTTGATCCCTTAGGAGCCAAGAATTATCTGCTAATAATCTTAGAAGCGAAACAAATTCCTTTTTCCACATCGATCTAATCGCCTGCAAACAGCAGAAATTGTTTTCGTTACAGAAACCCTTGTTTGTCGAGTTTCAGGAAAAAAATCCTTTAATCGCAGACATTATTATATCGCGATTACATTTTTATCTAATCGGTTGTAATGCGACTCAATCATCTGTTAGATAGCACTGAGAGGAGCAAGTAAAAAATTTCAATAATATTTACTCGCACCACTTTAAATAAACTACGCTGTTTATTAAAACAAAAATTGTGAAGTGTCACGATTATCATTAAATTGTACTACGATACAGGAGGAGAAAAAAAAATTATATTAAATTTGGAACAACGTTAATTTTTATTTTGATAAAATTTTGAATGAGAAAAATAATTATTTGTAATCTTAAACACACTCCTTTATAAAACGCTATTATTTTGCTGTCACAAATATTTACTTAATAATAATATTCCTTTATTTTTTTTTCAATGTAATTTTTTATTTAATGGATAAATATTTTATTTTCTAAAAATGTACATAGACAGCATTAATATTGATTTTAAAACCAACAAAATGATGATTTTTACTAGAGCTCAAACTTCACAATATACAGGGTGTTCACATTTGATCTGGAACATACCTGTCGAATATGCGTCATATCATTTTGATGATCATTCTTTTATATATTGTATAAATATGATTTAATGAAAAATAACCCATCATACAAGGCTACCATGACACTTAAATTTATGAGTGCATTAACATACCTCGTATATACAGGATGTTCCACCTAAAAGTTGTTTGGAATCGCGTGGGCCATAAAGAAAACTAGAGTGTCATTTAACTTGCTTTATATATTACAGTGCAATAAAAATTGTTTGCAAGACCTTCTTGACGCTGATAAATAGCTACTTTTTCGGACTTTAGAAAAGAACTTGATTTTCCTGGGAACCTGTTAGAGATAAGTATGGACAACTTTATATTAGTTGAAAGGGCATTCAATTTTGCATTCACCCATGACAATTAATTCTATGAAAAATAAACTTTTTCAACTCGTAAGATTATTAAATGTAGGTCTCAGTATTTCAGAGTCTGAAAAACGTACACGTTTTGCTCACATATGACAAGATAGAGTAATTTATGTCAAAACGAACTGTGAAAACTGCAGGTTTCTAACTTTCTTGCTATCTATCCGTATCTATCCTCATTTAGAGAGCTGGAATCGTGATTTTTTTTTAAATCAACTGAATATCTCGAAAACGGTAAGTTGTAAACACCATATACAGTTAATACACTCTATCTAATATTAACCAAGGAATTTAAAAATGCAATAATATACAGGGTGTTCCATTTAAAACAACGCGAAATGGAACACCCTGTAAAGCTAAACACATTTTTTGTACATGGCCCACATGATTCCAGACAACTCTTATTAAAACCATTTTTTTTTAATTTTACAGTTACAGAAGAATTTCTCTTAGGTGGAATACAATGTAAACAATAATAACAAACAATCGAAATCGTACGATGCATTCAAATTTAACAGGGATCAAATCTAAACACCCTGTCTATGACAATAATGAACTTATGTTGTCCGTCTACGGGGAATGCTTGCAAAATGCTGCAGAGGCGTCACGTCATTTTAGCGACAGACGAGGATAATATCTAATTTTAAGTAGTTATTTCAGTTTATATTTCGAAAATTTCCAACATCTCTATTAATCAACACAGAAAATTTTCCAATGTCACTTCAGTGAGCGCTCCCGCTGACAATTTCTGATAAAAAAAAAAGGCCGTCGCCACCAAGGCCACTCGAAGCGTTTTACAATTTAGATAGCGCGCGGGAATTTTCCGCAATTTGGAACGCTCTCCAAAGCCATAAGTTGTGAAAGTGAACTATTAGCTTATCTCCGGGCAACGGATGTTCTTAACCAAATCACCGATAACATTGATTTATTGTTCGTATACCCTTCCCCGTCACATTCATATCGAAACAATGTGTGTATGTGCATTCTAGATCTGTTTGAAAACACTCGCGGCAGTGGACGAAGAAACCGAAACGATAACATTTCGTTCTGTTTACTTTCCTTAGTTGGAATACAATACACATGCATTTTGTTTTCGTTTTCCGGATAACGATAACAAGCAACACTGATGTGACTAATGTCGAAAACAATTAATACTGGTTGAGAATCACGTACGGTCTAACGTGATTGTTAATATACAGGGTGCTTTAAGTCTAAATCACATGACGCGTACAAAAGTGTTGGCAAGATGTTACTACCTCAGTCCCTTATCGTTCATAAGAATTCACTAAAGAGTTAACAAATTGTGTGGGGTAGGGGTAGCACGCTAACATTTTAAAGGGGCTAAGCGACCACACTGTAATAAAAAGTATGGTAAAATTCCATGATAACCTGTTGCCATGGAATGTTCACGTAGAATTCATGTATCATTTATGTAATATTAAATGAAATTTTTGAAATAACATTTATACATGAATTTTACTTGAACATTCCGTGTGGCAACAGGTTACCATAGAAGTTTGAGAAATTTTACAATACTACTTATTATAGTGCACTTGGAAAATATGTTATTTTGGGAAAATAACTAGATATTTCTATGTCA